TTGTCAGCATTAGTGACAAGCGGTCCTGGCTGTTATCATATTTTCTATCGCGGAATTGGATTGCTTTGGCGATCGGATGGGAAAGCGTACCACATCGGTGGCAATGGGTTATCTACTTTATTTGAGCCAAACTCGAAAGTTGACCTGCTCGCAATATAAGTATCGATAGTATTTTAACTCTTTCGGGGAAAGTTGAGATGAGAGGAAGAAATTGCAAAAAATTAAACTAAGAATTTTAATGTAAAAAACTGATAATTAAAAAACTGATAAACATTAAATAAACATTAATTAATGTTGTCGAATTCGGTATGAATCACTTCAATTTCAAGCAATACAAATATGCCAATTTATGTTTAACAAACTCATACAACCAAAAAGATTTTTTTCAAGTTAATAGGTTAAAAAAATATATATCAACCGTATAATAAAACAATTAAATACAATTTCATTGAATGCAAATATGCCAATTTACATTTAACAAACTTATTCAACAAACCTAAATTGTTTTTCAATTTAATAAGTTGAAAAAACCATTTTAACTGCAAATTAAAAAACATTTTTTTCAACACTAGTTAAAGAACATTTGTGTTACTGACAATTACCATGCCTGGTATTCTTGCACATACATTAATCGTAAAAATGTTATTTAATAGCAAAACAGCCTTGGGTTCAGACTTCTTTCGTTACAAAAAATGCAAGAATTTGTGCTGCAATTGAAGCTTGAAAAGGGTAATTGTCTTTTTTGAGAATTAAAAATTATGGCTTTGAGAGAATGAATTCGAGATCATGTATTGTACTTTTGTTTTAATCTTTATTTCCATTGCTATTACGCTCGGAGCTATATAAAATCCCATAATAAGCAGCATAAATCATGGGAAAAACTTAAGTTTACGACTTAATCACCCGTTCGTTTGCATATTAATTGCATTTCGCGTATGGCAGCACCGCCCACAATGCCGCACACCTATCATAACAATCTAATGAGGCACTTAATTCGCCGCTGCCACACACTCCAAATTGGAATCTCGCACGGCCTGACAATCACACCTATCTAATAACTTCATTACCCAATCAATCAAAGTGGCAACACGACTGCCGGCATTACAATATGTCAACTGGCCGAAACAGCTGCACACCGGCTTAAATGGGGAAAAATGGCAAATGAAAAAAAATGGTGGGGGGTAGGGGGGGGGCTTCAGAACGTGGGGGCGGAAAGCTGTCAGAATGCAAATGCGAAAAGCTCGGGAAAAGCTCCACGAAACGGCTCGGAATTTCCCGACTCCGGCATGTGTGGAAAAGCTCACATATGTGCGAGAGCCAGTGGGTTAATTTTCCGGCCAAGCTCATTTCCGCTCACTCTCCCACGTGCTCACGACTCTCAGTGGGTGGTGCAGTGGGTGGTTGGCTGCCGAAAAGACACCGGAAGTAGGAAATTGGGTTACCAAATGCATTTCGTGTGTGCGCCGTAACATTTCCGCTACGGGCCACCGCTAACAGAGCCGCAACAGCACCGGCGAATCGGAGAACTGGATGGCCGGAGAACTGGAGCACCGTAAACCGAAAACCGGAGAACCGAGAGCCGGAGCCGAAAGCCGGACACGGAGTCTGCTGCCCCGGAAAAGGCAAGATTGCAGGGCACACGCATTGCCCACATGTCGTATGCCGAATATCACACACGAGCTGCTGCGAGCTTGGAACTGGTTGCGACGCTGGTTCTTGTCTCCGCTAGGGCGCGACTGCATTTTCAAAAATGCAGCAGCAGCACGAATGCAAGCCGCCCGGCTTCCTTAACCCCTTAAGGCCCCCCAAAACCTTAACCCTCTGCCAGCCGAATCGCATTTGAATGCCTCCAATTGAGTGCAACGCTAACAAGCTGAAAGCCTTTGACGAACGAGTTTGCCGGTTCGAAGCAAATTGAATGCCAGCTAAATTGTGCGACAAATTGCAGGCCAAGGACGAGGGGAGTTATGAAGGATGAAGGACGCGGCAAGTTCACCTTTCAACTTTGTGCATATTTTCGACGGGCAAAGTTTTCGGCATGAGCAGCAAGTGAAAGGGATAAGTTTAGCGAAATTAGCAGTAACATCAATTTCGATAAAGCTACTTTGGGATAACGCAAATATTTTGAACGTTATAAAGAGCTGGCGAATTCCCTCAAATCAACATTTAAATGATGTGCCACAAATCTTTAGACTTCTAAGTGGCAGATATTGTTAGGGAAGGCATGCGATATCTACGATTAATTGACTATTATGTCTGGGCCATTAAACAGAATAATACAAAAATATTACACAAGTGAGAAATGATTGTAATATTCTTATTTTAGAAGCTGAATGTATTGAATTCAAATCTCTTGAGATTCAAGATTTTGTTTTTAATGAAACAAATGTTGGTCCGCATTTTTAATGCAGCTGAATAGCTCATTTTCGTGCAATAATAAAACAATGAATAAAGCGACGATCCACTTACTAATTTAAGCTAATTAAGAGACATTTCTTTCCAGCTTATTCATCAGGAAATAATCTACACCCGCCGTATGGATTACCTTGCAAAGGGTTGATTTTCGCCCTTCTGCGATGGCAAAGATTTTCAGAGCCGCCAGCTGTTCTTAGGTAAAGTCCACCCACTGCCTCCCAATCAACTTCCACTGCCTCCAGCTCAAGGGTAAAGCCTTTAAGTAGTTTTGTGTAATTTAAATATAAATACTCATTTAATTAGCCTGGCTGCTGAGAGACTCGCTGGCAGACCTTTGATCTCCGGCAAATGTGTAAATATTTGACATTAATTACAAGTTGAATGCAGCGCTCGTCGCCAGTCTTCGGTTAACCCGTTGAGGCCGCGCACAGACGCAGGCAATAACTGGAAAATTTATTTAATATTCACTTGTGAGGCCCCTGCTCTGTCGGCAAACGGTGGCAAATTACTTAAGCGCTTATTTGTCAACTGCGACGCGGGTGGGCCGAGCAACATTTTATACATTATGCATATAGACAGTGGGAACTCATTAATAGCGACTCAGTCGCCGGATCAGCCCTTAACCCATCGCAGCCCATCGCGGCATCAATTATTCAGGTGGCACGCGACGGCGGAAGTGGCTGAGGAAAAATGGCCGCCAGCAAAATGGCGTCACTACGGCCAAAGTACCGTTGCCCGCCAGGGAAATTACGTGCGTTTGTGTGTGTGAGTGGGTGGATCGAGTGCGTGGCTTGCAAATAGCTTAAAAGCCCCAAAACTTTACCTCACTGGCCGCAGATGACACTGCAGAGGGAAAAATATATCAATTTGGTCTTCAATTTTGCAATTAAATGTTTTTGTACTATTTCACCTTAATAAGATTAAAAATAGATCAAAACTGTAGCAAAAACTAGCGTGGTTTATGTTTAAATTGACATTAATCTAACATTTGAAATACTAAACTTGTTTCTAAAAAAAAAATATTTTATGTTTGGAACATTTTTAAAACTTAAAAACCACTTTAAAAACATAACACGCCATGATTCGTAGGGTTAATTCGCAATCAGTCAGCTCCATTTATACAAATAACTCGTAAAAGAGTATAACCCTTTTTTCTTTTCAGTGTGACAAGTTCCAAAAGCAAACTAACAACATCTCATATGCACTTGCGAAATGATTTCCCAAGTAATGGAATTTCTATATGCACAGCTTAGGACAACTCCGGAGTAAACAAACGGAATAGAGTGAGCCTGGCAACTTTCACTTTGCAGTCGTCATCGTAACACACTTTGCATGTAATTCCCGTATGTACAGATGCTTGTTTATATCCTTGTCGTTGGCAGTAAACTCTCAATTGTATAATGCATTCATTTCGGCAACTGAAGCTGTGACACAGCAGGAACTTTAATTATAAATAATTATATGGGGTTGGAGTGGGCGCAGAAATGCACTCGGTTTTGGAGAGCTAAGGGACATTTCACATCCTGGGCATGTGTTATTAATGATGAGTAATGCGCCAGTAAATATTTGTTAATTAAATTAGCATTGCCGGGCCACTAGATTGCATGTGTGAAATGTATAGCCTTTCAGCTTAGAGATGTGCTCTAAACCTCTTACATGTCACCATCCGCTTATTAATAAATTCCTCGGTTGAAATTGTATGCGCGCAATTAGCTGTGTTTGCGGAATATAACTACTATTTAAATTTTAATGATAATATCTCAGTGAAATTTGTTGCATGCTTATAGGCTTGTAACTAGGTTTACAATATTTCCAGTTATTGTGAAATAAATCAACAAAACTGTTGTTTAATAAACCTTTTAGCATAAATGAATTGGCAGAATCTTTCTAGACTACTAGCTAATGACTTTATGATGAAAAGCAATGTTTGAACGTTGTTTGAGATAAGACGGCAATTTGATTGCTTTAATCAACAAAAATGAATTATAATGCAAACAAAAATCAAGATTGTTTATTCTACAAAAAAACAACTACGAGGTAAGAAAGTCGTGACGATCTTAAAATCCAAAATTTCTGATATCTAATTTGGTGACGAAAATTATTCATTTTTTGTGTGACGAAAAAAATAATTTTTTTAATCATTTTTCCATTTGGTCTTCTGAAAAAAATACTGGGGAAAGTTTCTTACCTAGATTAAATGGTACCCTTCTGGCTGAATGGGAAACTGCTGAAAATGTTGCAATATAAAAAATTAACAATTAATTTGTTTCCAGCTAAAAAAAATATTTTTTTTATATTTTGTTTGTCCGCTAAAATAACTGGCTTTCATATAGCTTATAGCGTTCATCACTACGTGGACGGCCGACCACAGTGATGATTAAGGCACAATAGAGTGCTTTAGAACCGGAATATGACAAAGCAGTTTGTTATCTTGACCTTGTATATTTTAAATTGCTAGTTTTGTTCTATTACCTATTATCTAATACCGCATGAATCGCCATAAAAAAGACTATCTCGGAATCTATTTGTTGATAACACCACTTAACAGAAATATATATTTGTGAAACCTAGAGCTGAATCGACAGTATAACGAGAAACCTCGACGCGTTCGCAATGCTACCCTCTTGGCTAACCAATGAGTATCTGCAGCCCAGGCTGAGGGCTTACCTCAAGGACGATCAGGTCAAGGTCGTCAAGATATCTGCCAAGCCGGCGACTGGAAAAGGTGATAACTTCGTGGGCGTTATGGCTCGAATCTACGTGGACTATCAGCTGGGCGATGGATCCGTTCAGAGCAAAACCTACATCGTCAAGGAGACCTGTCCCGCGGACGCTCCCCAGGCGAAGTTATTCGCGGAATACGACGTGTACACCCGTGAGATGGACATGTACGAGTTCATCCTGCCGAAGATGAATCAATTGCTCCAAGAAGTTGGCCTGACCGAAAAGTTAACTGCAGATGCCATCAGCGTGGATCGGAAAAGCGGTACCATAATTCTGGAGGATCTGGCACCCTACAAGTACGTAAATGCGGATCGAGTGAAGCAATTGGACTTGGCTCATGCCCAGCGGACTTTGGAGTTGCTGGCGAAGTTCCATGCGGCATCCATAATCCTAAAAGAACGCCATCCGGAGCTCCTGTCCAAGAGTCTTTACACTCACTGGTATTCACGTGAGAAGAAAGGCTATACGGAGGTTTGGCTGGGCTTCTTTAGGGTTTTCCTAACCTTCATAAATGGCCAACCAAACTTAAAGAAATTGTATGGCGACAAATTGAAGAAGTTGCACCCTCAAATTATGGAGTACGCAGCTCGGAGCTACGATGTGGCCGATACAGAACTGCAGGCGTTAATCCATGCCGATGTGTGGACCACCAACATTATGTTCCAGTACGATGATGCGGGTAATCCCCGGATACCCGTAGCAATCGATTTTCAGTTCAGCAATTTCAACTCACCTGCCGTCGATTTGCACTACTTCTTTAACACTTCACTGCGGGAAGAAGTGCTGGATAAGGAATCGGAACTGGTTGAGTATTATTACAACACCTTAAAAGCCGACCTGGACAAGTTTTCGTATAAGGGTTCATTTCCAAGCCTAAAGGAGTTCAAGATTCAATTCGAACGTCGTCGTCCCATGTGTAAGTAAAGTGAATATTAACGGCGTTACACATTACCCTTACCCTTTTATCATTTCCTAGGTCTTATGGTGAACCTCCTAACACCACTTATTGTCTACAACGGCAGTGAGTCCACGGACTTCAAAGGCCTGTATGATGAAAGTCCACAGGGACTTCGATACCAGAAATCCATCTATGACAATGAAGTAGTGGTCAGAATAACAACGAAATTGTTAGCTCGTCTTGATCAGGAGGGAATCTTTGACCAGTGGGCTTAGATTACATATATTACTGAGCCTTGTATCATATTAAGATCACACAAATGCCGTGTATATATATACACACAAATGACCTTAAGCTTGTTATTAAATTTCACAACATGTTAAAACTGCCTGAACGAAAAATGATTATTTGGCAACTGCAATCTTGATGCCAGATGTTACTTTCTCTTTTTATTAAATAATTGTGCCTAACATTTTATAACATTTGTTGTTAGTGTCCTGACCTTAATTTTGAATAAGTTAAAAAATTAATGTATTAAATATTATTACAGCTTTAATATAACAAGTTTCTTACTCTACCCTTATAAAGAAATAAAAAGTCTGAAAAAAAACTAATAAACTACCTTGAAGCTCGTTAGACTTTTCCATGTCTTGTTTATTTCCCATGAAATAGGTTACTTCTCCCCATCGAAAGAGTTTTTCCGGGCTCCGCAATCTCGAATCACATCTTCTACACGGCCAAACACTCATCTGGAGTTATGCTGGGCAGTATTTTCCAGGTGCAGCGATGCCAATATCGTGTTATCCATTCTAATTAGCCCTGCCCATGCTCGTGGGCCATCATTCGCCCGCTCTTAACCCTCCGGCACTGGCACATCTAAGCCGGGCCAAGACGGCATTGCCGGTTAAAATTTACATTGGCCATTCGGCGGTTAACATGCACTAAATTCAGCAGTGGCCCCTGGCCAAAGTCGAAGCCAGAGCCAGAGCCACATAAACTTGGCCGGCAGTCTTCTGAGCTGGGAACTGCATGGCCCTCGCTTTGCGCTTTGTGGCCAATTAATTTACGCGCACTTGGCGAGCACTTTGGCTTAGAGAGATGCGGCACGATGCTTATCGCCGGATTAAACCTATATCATTTCATTATTATTTGCCCGCTAACGGCGGACCATGTGGCGCTCCCTTTGGTGGGCTTGGGCTCGTCGCGCTGCCTGATGTTGCCAACATTTCTAAATTAATTAGCCGAGGACGAGGGGCTTGGCTGCAGCTCCCGAGTTGAGCAACCAATTTTGACAGCATCAGCCAAAAAGCGGCAAAAAAAAAAAAATTGGAGAGACAAAAAATTGGCAAAAATACTGGAGAAGAAAAGAAAAGCCAGTTAACATTTCGGTAGTCGGCGTCGGAGGCCCTCTTATCTTTAAGCCACACGATGCCAGGCGACGTCGACGACAACGACAATTTATTGACAAGACAATGGCGCTCAGCGTATGTAATTAATCTCGACATAATCTGAGTAGATAATTTTTGCCGCTCGTTGTTTGTTTGTTTGCCGTTGCTTGTTGCAGATGCTTTTGCTTTTGCTGTGGTCTCTGGCATGTTTCTGTTTTTTTTTTTGTTGTTGTTGTATTATTGCTGCTGTTGTTGCAGGCCGTTTGCGGCGGCGGTCCGTTGGCGGTCTATTTTGGTGTGTGTTTGTCTCCTCGACGCCCGCTTTGGTCATGTTCTTTTATAGCCGGTCCGGGCCCTGTCAGCTTTATGAAGTGCACAGGCAGCCCATAGAGGGCTAGGGACAGCGATATTGTCCTTTTACGGCCTTCCCCCACATTGCTGGCCTTTTTCAATTAAGTAAAATGCAACAAATGCAATCTGCGGAGCAATGCATTCCATAAAGCTCACAGAATGCCTTTTGCCCATCTCGTTTCCCCGCTCTGTATCCCCATTTTATATCCCCGTTCCCTATCCTCACCCCTCTGCTCGCAAAAATCCGGACTTTGGCCTAGTTTCCGCGGGGTGCTAAAGTACCCTTGCCATTAATTCTGCGAAAAAGTTTTTACGCTGAGGTAGAGCGTATAGGACGAGAGGAATTTTTTCCTAATAGCGGCGAGAATCCTTGCACATAATGGGTATGTAATGGAAGCCCTATTTCAAAATAGATTATAATGAAGGAATTTTTTACGAAAGTCTTCATTATTTCATTTTCCATACCAAAAAGGGTTTCTTTTTCTTTAACGATGATATTATAAACTAATTTTTTGATAATTTAGTTTGTTGCCCTGAACCCGTTATTGTTGTAATACCAAAGTAATATAAAATGTTTCTTTCATTAACGTTCATATGTTATTTTTGTAAAGGTTAATATTAGAAGACGTTTATAAAACTTATAAGGCTCATCTCCAATAATTCACTTCACATATTTATCTGCAAGTCTAAGCGAAAACAAAGGTATTTCGAATTCGAAAGACCCCGCATTTTCCAACTTAATGGATTATGCGTACGTGGTAAAGTTGAATTCGTATTAAAAATTCAGTATGAATTGTTATAATGCAGGCAGTAGAGCACCCCCTCCCCAACCCCTCCTGCAACATGCAACAATGAATTTACATTAATGATGAGACTGCCTTATCCCTCTCAGATACCCTGGTCCTAACTTGGCCGCATTCTCAGCCAAAGTTTTGCTGAATCGTAAAGCAAATGAAACTATGCGAGGCACAGTTTTATTTTTTAGTATTTTTTCCTCCCAGCCTGTATGCAATTTTAATGCTAAAGGCCGAGGCTTCCATCCAGCCAGCTTCTACCAACCCACTGTGCATCCTCGGATCCCTGGGTGGCCATTTAGTCGGCGTTGGCAAATTTTACGACCATGCATATTTCAGATAGCGAAAGTGAAATTATGAGCCGCAATTTTTGCCAAACTTTTAAAGTGGATGGATTTCATACCAAGCCGGGCCACACCCCACCTTCTCGCACACCCACTAGTGCATCCACCTAAAACCAGGCGACGGCGTTTTTGACAACTCATCAGAAAGTTGATTGCCATTTAAGAGCCTGGGTGAAAAGGCCTGAAAACGATATTAGAAGACGATGGCTGGCACTCGTAAAGTTGTTAAATTAAGTGGAAGTGGCACAGCGAAATGTCAACTGCTTTGACGAGTTTTCATGGTTTATGTTCGGCCTGGGCCTAGAAATCTGGGAGCGGCACTCCGATAATCTGGTTTGATGGAGCACTGCCAATGGCTTGCAAAATAGTTATCCACTTTCACTGAAAACCAAGCTAAATTCTAAACATTCTTTGCATTTGTTAATACAACATTTGTGATACTGATTAAGAATTTGTTTATTATATATTTTACTAAATAGTTATGATCGATACATTTTTTAGTTAAACTGCCTAATCTTACAAATCAGTTTTATTATTTTAAAAGTTAAAAAAATTAACGACTGAAAAAAAAACTATTCCATACATCCTTAAAATCCAATACACAACTTATTAAGCGAACAGTTTATTCAAAACAAAAAAAAAGCAACCAAATAAAAAAATTTAAAAAAAAAGTTACACTCTTTACCCCAGATGGGACTCGAACCCACAATCCCCGGCTTAGGAGGCCGATGCCTTATCCATTAGGCCACTGGGGCATGTGCTAGCGGCCGGCCAAATGCTATTTTGAGCTCACGGTTGGAAAGCATGAGTCAGTAGACTACGTCACAGCAGGCAAACGAAATATCCAGAAGGGAGAACAAAACGTGTTTATTTATTGAATCTTTTATGGGGTTGAAATAAACCATTTCGATACCTGAGTTAATTCCTGTTTCCGCTTAAGAAACTAAATAAGGGACATACATACATCGTATGTATGATTTTATGTAAGTATTTCAGAAAAACAATATTTCACCACTCGTGTATTTGATATATAAAATGTTATATGTAATTACAAACAACAAACCATCGTTATCAAAAAGAAACACTTGTGCTGCTGACTCAACATAACCCAAATATTTAGCTAGATATGTTTGTCCACTTTGTTTCCGCGGCCAAACAAACAGTTTATTTAAACAGTTGCTTGGCCACAAAATTTAAGCGATAAAAGTCTATTTTTAGGTAGATTTTGTTCTTGTATTGCTCGTTCTCAGCCTACCCTCGGCTTATATTGGCCTTTTGACAGCTCGAAGTACATGCCCCAGTGGCCTAATGGATAAGGCATCGGCCTCCTAAGCCGGGGATTGTGGGTTCGAGTCCCATCTGGGGTAAAGTGAAGTACTTTTTTTTCTGTTTTATATTTCAATTTTATAAGGACTTTTATTTTTTAAGGAAAAGCTTTCGAAAAAATTCTGATGTTAAAGCTTAAATAACTTTTTTATCATTAGAAAGTCTTTTAAAGTGGTATATATAGATGGTTGATATATATCTCATTTATTTTAATGTCTTTAAATATATTTAAGATTATTTTATCTTTTGTGTCAAAATATATTATGTACTTACTTTTGAGATTAGTCGTGTTAATATGTTTCTACAATTCTCTTTAAATGTTAAAGTTGCCTACTAAAAGGCACCGTCACTTAAATGTTTGGAAAAAACAGTAGCGATCGCTTGACTCATTTGTTATATGCAAATCGAAATTACATAATCTGGACCACTGTCAGCCGTCTGGTGTCTGCCGCCTGTCTTTTCGACTGTTGTATTGATTTTTTATACCTCACATATTTATTGTGTTTCTCGGCTAGTCTTTGGATAAACGGCGCATTTATTTATTACAACTACATTAAACCGAAAATGTCACGACATTAATTTCGCAAATGCGATTAATAAACGTCAGCATAATGTCATTGTTTGCAAATGCCCCAAAGAGGCGATTGTTGTTGTTGTTTGGGGCAGCCATTATGTACAAGCCATTGACCACAAGTCAAGTAAAGTCAAGTCAAGTCTGGGCCAAAAGCCAGCACCAGACAGGCAGACAGATAGACAGCGAGCAGTGCAAACATGATTTACACCCATCTATTGTCTGTGCCTAAATTGTCCGGGCGAAAAGTCAGCTGGAAATAGCAAAAAGCCGCCAAGGTGTCTGAGTAGTTGCGTGTCCCACAATTTAGCGAAGCGACCCGACCTACTTTTGGCATCTGGGCCCTGGTTGGCCACCCGAATCGCGGCCCGCTAATGAGAGACCCAGAGGAAATTAAAATGCTGGCAAATTGCAAAACGGGGAAAACGGAGGAGCAGTTGCTGTGATTCGGCGGTCGACAGAAAGCCTTGAAATGTCACTGGGCGAAACAGTTTGCCAGGCCAGACCACAAATCGCTTTGGCAGCCCGGCGCATGCAAAAAGCCAATCTCGATTACAATCAGTACGGATATCAGGTCTGCCCAAGGATTTTCTCGGGGGCAGTGGGTGTGGCTGGGGGGCGGTGCCCATCGGCCCGCTTGTTTGCATGTTGCCCGGCGATAAAGATCAAATGAGAAATGGATGTCGCCGAAGCAGCCTCCAGTTGACGGGTTGCATGCTGCGTAGACATTTGCATCGCTGAATCGCCGGTGACAAGATTTGCGAGCGCCCAGCTGCAAATCGGAGCGAGGCAAGTAGCTGGCGGTCCGCAATTAACAAGCTCGCCAGCGCTGCCAAGAACATACTTCAAAAACTTGACAGAT